TGAAGGAAATCTTAAGTCCAATTAAAGTGATTGTTACCCCCAAAATATTTGTGTCACAGTTGCACATGCCTTGCCAGACCAGTTTTGTTGTAACTCACAGGATTCACATTTGGGTAAAGTTGATGATCAATTTTCTCTATGGTAGCATAAAAAGCACCTTCCAGCACTATGAAGACTAGTCAATAGAGATGAAGCTTTGAAGTCAGTACCAGCTTGATTTCTGCTTTTTTCTTCTATAGCTCATGGGTGTAGTATCTCCAAATTCTGGTGGTAAGAGAGGATAAGTATCTAGAATGAATGATGAGCTCAAAATACTAAATATCAAAAAATACACAACTCATTGAATATGGGGCAAGGAGCCAGACAGGTTGTTCTCCAAGGTTCGAATAGAAATGTGAAGGATCTTCTTTTAAATTTTTCTACATCAGTAGTCCTAAGGGAAATGTAATTTAAAACCATTTTGTGATCATTAACCCTTTCACCATGGCTAACATCCCAAAACCAAACAAAAGCTGGGTGTGGTGGCACAGACCTTTAATTCCAGAATGGAGAGTGGTAGCTGGGCACAAATTCCACCCCTTGCTCAGGAACAATTGGTAATTTGTAGGTACTGGGAAGGAGTCAGTGTTCTTCAAGGGAGTGGGCCCCATACACAAGTGTTTATATTCAGCTCAGTGCAAATTTTGTATTTTGCTGAAAAAATAAATAAAAAAAAATCAGAGAACAAAATATTGGATGGTTCATGAAGGAATGGACTTCTAGGAGTGGAGGGCAATTTGATAAAAATATATTCTTTGAAATTCTCACAGAAGTAATAAAAATTGTGGGAAAATTATAAAAATGTGCATCACATGTCATTTTCAGTCCTCCTCTATTTAAATGCTCAAAAACATAATATACAAATTCAAATATAAATATTGATACATGGGTAATACTGGTATGTTGCTGTATTTTTCATTTGTTTTCCAAATATAGTGTTAAGTAAATGAAAAAGAAAGTTGTGACATATCAGTAATGATGCCATCTAGACTTGGGATGTCATTCCTTGGAGATATTGAATTGCTGCTTCATTTTCTTTCTTTTGCATTTAATATTGACAGGTCAAATGTCTTTAGGGATTCATGCATTTCCTCTAGACCCATTTACTTAGCTTTTTGGACATGTATCAGTTATTCTTTAATGACAGTTTGTATTTCATTGAAGTCTCTTTTAACAACTTCTCCCCTGTATTTTTTTTTTAATTTGTTTTTACCAGCACTTTTTTGGTTCCCTTGTCCAGTCTTTATTCAATTTTTTTCAATGAATAGAATGATGGATTTCATGTAATGTTTTATGTTCTGTGAATTGAATTTTTTTTTCTTTTCTATTTGTTATTTCTCATCATCTAATGCACAGTGTTTTTTGTCTTCATTCTGGAGAAAACTGAATTCCGTTTCTATGCTATTTTTTTCACACCTATATTTGGGGTCGTGATTTCTCTCAATAATGTTTTTTCTTCAAAGAAGATATTTGTAGGAATTTGAAAATTCTTATCTTGGCTATAACAGTGACCCAAAATTCATTCATATGAAATTTGCTCAATAAAGAAGTATTTCCACAGACTTTCATTTCTTCACTAGTTTATTTATAGTTTTCTTCCACTATTACTTAAAAATACATGGTCATATATTTTATTTTTTCTGAATCAACCAAAGTTGTTTAGCTGGCCAGCAACTGCACCACTCTGAGGCAATTTAGAGAATGCCGCATTAAGTGGGAGGGGATGGGAGCTTTTAAAGTTTAAGCCCAAAAGGTAAAGTCCTTGACAGGATTTATTCAAAGACAAGCTGTCACGTTTGTTCTTGTAGGTGGGTAAGCAAGCAGTTCAATCAATTAAAAAAAATTTTAATTTTTAAAATATTTCATTTATTATTTTTATTTTATGTGTATGAGT